GAACGCAGCGGGCGGGCGGGCAGGTGGGCGGGCGGGCGGGCAGGAGAGAGAGACGAGTGACTAAAACGTAAACCAGTGGAATATTGATCTTGAGGAAAGTGCAATTTTGTTGGCTAGCTGTTGGATAGTTAAATATCTTTGTAAGATAGCTCGTTGAGAATCAGTTTGTTTTGAAAAGTATATATGAAATATATTTTTCTTCCTAGTCCGCTTACACCTCTGGGACTCTAAAATATCGGGGTACAAAAGACGACAACACAGCATCGAAACTCTAGAAACCATGTGAGGAAATAAGGGGCGCTGTATTCACATTGTTGTTTATTATTATTTGTTGTTGTTTGTTCATCTTGTAAAGCTGTTAGCGTGGTAGAACAAGAATCCCTTTAAGAAATATCTTTTTTGAACAATCACATTTTTAAAAACGTCTTTGCAGGTAAAGTCTGCGTTTTGTTTAAAAACTAAATGACGCTAAAGCGATTTAAGTTATTTTTTAACGAGCACATCGTTTGATTTTGAAAATCAGGAGTTTTAAACGTTTTTGGAAAAAAAAGTAATCGTTGTTTTCTCCGGTTTCTTTGGCGAGATAATCTCTAAGGGTGCCGTCCGGTTAACGGGGTTTCCCTGCGATTGGCCCCCGGGTCTTCCTAAGAGGTCCCGTCCAATCATGAAGCACTTATTCCTGCAGTTGGCCAATGGGCCGTCAGCGTGTAGTCAGGGGGCGTGGCCTAGCGATTAAAGAGGCAGAGCAGAGGGTCACTCTCTGGAAGCTTTTCGTCCACAAACAGCCGAGCGCTTTACATGCAACTTACCGTTTTATTAACGTTTTGGTTTTCCTTTTCCTATACTATAAATATATAAATATATAAACACACACACGCACACACACACACGCACACACTCTTACGACCATCCAGCGTCGAACAAAAGTGAATTTAAGTGAAAAATGTACAAAAAAAAGAACAAAAAAAACTGCATGTTCTAGTGTTAGTGAGAGATTTTTTCCATAGATGACGTAGTTTGTGCGATAAAGACGATATATTGTAAACGACATCGGGCGCTCGCCAGCAGCCGTCTTTTTTTCTTTTGGCCCCGTCGAGGCCGTTTTTTTCTATCGCTCTCCTTCACAAACAAACCAGCTCTCTCTTCGCTTCTCCGCATCCCTCCTTCTTTATTCTTCTTTTTTATTTTTTTTATTTTTCCACTTCCTCCCCTTCCTCTCCTTTTTTTCTTTTTTTCTTCAGCAACAGATCGATTCTGCTTTTCAGCTCCGACACATTCTCCTCGTTCTCCTCGTTCTCTCGTTCGTCCGTATCAAATTGCACGACAACAATTGTTCCTCATCGATGTGCCTTGAGCTACGGTCCAGTCCTGACAGGTCTGCACAAGATCCAACGTGGAGAGTCTTGTCTTCTTTTTCTCTTCATCCTCCTTTTTTTTTTTTTTTTTTTTTAGTTTTTCATTTCACGCCCGACCCTCCACACCTGAGATGTTTGTGGTTAGCCGGAGTAAAACGACGTCCGAGCTGCAGAGGAACGCTGTGGTTTCCAGTTTGACTCGCTGGTCGTCTCTCATGCTCTCTAGCGCCGAGACCGCTCAGGTGAATCCATCATCACCTACAGGTCGTCTCCAGAACTCCGCTAACAGCTGGCAGCGTGAGGACATTTTGTGAAATGAGCAAAACGTTGTTAAATCCAATGAAGTGAAATTAAAGTTTTCAGCCGTATGGTTTGATATAGACGCTAAAATGTAGCGTTCAGGTGAAGCTAAAGCTAGCTGCACATGAAACGAGTTTCAGCTCAAAAAAACAGGAAATGAGAAAAGTGATGGCTTTATGAAATCTGCAATTGTCAGAGCACGCATCGGGTTGGTGGCGCTTTCCAAGTGTGCTCACTCTCATTGGCTGCTGCAGGTTTTCCATCAGAGGCCGCCTAAGTTTCAGATCAGTGAGGCTCCGACTGCGATGAGGAGCGGAAAAATAATCGTAGTGACACCGCACCATTCTGTACCCGAAGAGCTTTCTCATGGTCAGGTTGATCCACCTTCGCTAACCACTGATTTAGCCCCGTATGGCATCTGGTCCGGGTTAGCTAAAGCTTTAGCTAGTCCGTTCGGTCCAGCTTTACTGGCTGCTTGTTTCGACTTAACCTGCTTAGCAAAACATGAAGCTCGTTTTCTGGTCGTCTGTTTGGTTTAGCTGCTACAGGACGCCGCGAGCTAACTAATCAACCGGGGCCGGGTAATTTACCACAACCCATCACGATACTGAGTCCAACATTGATTTTGGATGATGACCAACAGCTGTTCTTTATTGTTGAGAATAACAGCAGAGGCGTTTGGATCCAGAAACTTAAATTCAGGTCCTAAAAGATCCGGAAAATACAGTAAAATATTTTAATCCTGGCGCGTTAGCTAAGGCGTTATTGTGAGCTAGCACATGACGATATATCGGCACATTGGTTTTTTTTTAGCCCCGCCCTAACGAGGATAATGAGCAGGTTTATCTGAACCTTTAATTTAAGTCGATATCTGTGAGACGAGATGAAAACAGTCGAGCTCATTTCACTGAATGTCTTGATGCTGTTGTGTTGATGGAGGAGGCGGAGCTTCTAAAGAGCTCGTTAGCCGCTAGTTCAGTTTGTCTTCTTCCCCCTCGCTCTCCGTCTGACAGGTCGAGTCTCGACTCTCTCTCTGAACGCCGGAAAGTCGGAAACGTTCCTTTTCAAGTCTTCCCGGTTTTCTTTAACTTTCTTCTCCTTTTTCGTTCCCTGAAATCAAAAATGAGGACGTCAAATATGCAAATCCTGCGTGCACTCACTTTTACTTTCTTTTTCGTCTTTCATTGTTTGTTTTTTTTACTTTTCAACCAAAGTTGGCGTGCACGTGACTGGCATCGTGCTCCGTGGTCGGTCCCTAAAAATGGTGAAGCCAGCCCCGCGGCGACGCTCGGGGAATTCTACTTCCTTCCCTCCTTCCTTCCTGTTTTGATAATCTAGCAGACGGCCGCTATGCGACATTCGGGTCTCTCTTTCCTAAAGTTTTTTTTTTAAATGATTTCGTCGGTCACAGACACGTCTTACAAACAAGTCCAACGTCTTCTCCATCACGCCGACCACACCGCTCTTCTGAAGACGTCCAAACATTTTGACTTCCTTCCTGGCAGAGCGTCCAGTTGTTTACCTGTTTGGTGTCCAGCGGGCGTGACAGCGTCGGCGTTGATGGCGAGGTCGTTGCGCTTGTTTTCGAGCGTGTTCCCTCCTCGTGGTCGTTCGCTCTCTCTTCCTCGCCGACCCTTTAGCCGTGAGTTGGGCATTACTTCCTTAAGTATCTGCACTAAATATCAAATAAATGACAAAAAGTATTACATGAAAAAAAAAAAAAATTCAGCTTCCGGGGCTCAAAAAGAGCGAAGGGAATTTAAAAAAAATAATTGCACGGACATTTTTTTGTCAAAAAAAAGTTGTGAAACGGCCTCTAAGCATCTAATCAGCGACTTCGGGCCGTGTGTACGATGACGACAAAATTGCACCCTTTTTAAAGAAAGAAAAAAAAGAAAAAGAATATAAAAGCAATAGTTTGGGCAGCGTGTTGTTTTGTTCTTGTGTTGTGTGTGTAATTTAGTTCTGGTACAGCAGCGAGAGAAAGGGGGCGGAGACTTAGACGGGAGGGGCGGAGCAGGACGGAGACGTGTTTGTACGTTGTATAGTTTTATTAATTACACTGATTTTAAAGCTGCCCTATTTTATAATGCAGGACTTTTGTAACATTGATTAAATGAGGAAAAACTAGTGTTGTGAATTTTCTGATTGTTTGTATCGAGGCCACATTATTAGAACTGGTTCGCTTTGTTTTTCTGGGAACTGGATTTAAGTTGAAAACTTTCCTGTTTCCTGACTTTTTCTTTTTTTGTTTCCTTGATTTGCTTTTCCTTTTTTGTATGTATTTAAGGACACTTCCTCTGTTGATGGGATGGCATGTTCCTGTGCTTGAAAAGTGCGGGGTTGCCGTGGCGATAAGACCATTGTAAATGGATGTTACAGTATGCTGTATGTGTTGAAGGTCATTTGTTTGCATCAGTGTTGATGAAGCTAAATCGGGGTCACTCTGAGGAACCTTGGTAAGAAAAAGAAGCGTTTTGTTTTTTATGCATTTTAAAAAGTTTAGTTCTTAGGCAGGAGACGATGATGACATAGCCAGCCAAACGATGCCCCTACTATAAATGCATCTCGGCATCTTTTTTTGTGTTCACCATTCCATGCAGGAAAATAAACAGCTTGATTATGCAACATGATTCTTTTTTCTTTTCCATCTGTTTCTTTCTTCACGGGCCCTCAGATCACCTCTTCCTCCTCTTCCTCCTCCTCCTCTTCCTCCTCTGCTGCTCATCACAGCATCACGTTCATGCAGCAGATAATCTGCAGAGTAACCACGAGTCACCGGGGCGCAGGGCGCTTCCAGTGGGATCAGAGTTTCTGCTCGTTGGGTCGACGTCTTTATTGAGCTCATTTGATGAATCGTTCATTTTGAGCTAATGAAGGGAAATGATTTTATTCTTTTGGCTCCTTTTAAGGCGGATTATAAACAACAACAACATCAACAGGCAAACACACAATCAGTGTAACCACGTGTGTGAATCTGGAAAAAATTTGAAGTTATGGACGTTTAAATGACGAACATTTGTTTCCTCACATCTAGTGAAGACAATTATTTGAAACTGGTACAAACCACGAGGACGACTTTTAAAATTTTACTGCCAAATGTTGTTTTATTTTGGGAAAAATGTTCACAAAGTTCTGCAAAACATGTCGCTGCCATGAAAAGCATCCTGACAAATTTAAATATTCAAAAGTTTCAGCTGCACAAAAAACAAATGTTCAAGCCAACGAGCAGCAAGTCCAATCCCTCTGGAGGAGACGTCTTTACAGGACGAGATGTGGCGGTTCAGCAGCTCACTACACGTTCTGCCACATGCTAACATGCTAACACGCTAACACTCACCAGCA